GCACAGTGGAAAGGAAGGTGCAGCGGCATCCTGCCCCTGCACACACATCCACGTGCACCAGGCTTCCGGAGGCGCGCGTGAAACATTACACTAACCTCGCTCTCTTTGGAGAAACGGAACTCAGGGTGAGACGGACTCGTTTAATTTTATGCTCTTCCTGTACAAGAAACCAGAAATCTGCGAGGCAAGAGAGAGAGAGGCCACTGACTGAGCACCCTGAGTTTTGAACTGCAGAACACATTGCCTCTTCAGAAAAAGATTTAAATCAAAACTTATGAGATGTGCCTTGTAAGAAGTGGAACAAATGAAAAAGCTCCCCTACTTTGAGACACGAATGTAAGAGGATCTGGTTTATCTTTAAACCCTGGCCATGTCTGGGAGGGAGATGAGGTAAAGGTGATGCTGTTTTTTCACAACAGAAAAACCACCTCGCACACTGCAGCATTAGATACCACAGCTCCTACTATTGCCCTAAGGGCTGGGTCCTCACATTGTGCAGGAATTTCAGTTCCTCTGTCCTGTCCTGAAGGGCCAGGAGCCACACAGCCGGCACTCCTCGGCAGGCAAAACAGACGGTGACTCACCGTAGCCTCCAGGACAGCAGCTCCCAGCCTTCCCGCTCAGGGAGCTGGCCTCCCCAGGGCTCTCTGCCATGGGTGGCTTCGTGCGCAGCACTGGCTCATGGCTTTTCTTTTGCTCTGGTTTTCCCACTGCACAGTCCTTGCTCTGGGCAGGCAGGAGCTCTGAGCCTGCTGTGCACCCAGGGCCTAGCTCAGGGCCTGACACATGCCACTGACAAAATAGTCACAGGAAAAGGAACATCTTCCCTACTTTAAGCTTACACAGGGGCTGTGAGCAGTTAGGAACTTTCTCTGTTGACTGCTTAAAAGTGTAACTAGCAGATAAATAGAGTGGGAAGAGGATTTTTTTTTAAGCCACAGCATTACTTGGATCAATTACCTGAACCAAAGTACGAATCTACATGTGAAGTTTATCCACCAAAGGGCCAAGGAATGGGCTGGTCCCTTAGAAGTACTGACTTTATCCCCTTTCCTACCCTGACTGAAAAGTGAAATCCTGTTTGGAGTTCTGCAGAAGTCACAGAGCTATGAGCACAATTTAAAAATAAATGTGATCTCTTGTCAACTGGAAATAAACAGAACAGAGAGAAATGAGTCACCTCTGCCCAGTACTCCATCCACATCACCCCTGGTTTGTGTCAATAAATCTCACCCTGGCTGTTTGAGCAGTGTTTAATCATAAATGGATTGGAATGCACTCAGAAGCATAAACAGAACTAAGTATCACCTATCTAAGTAACAGGTTAGTAAGGTAAGAGGGGAGAAAACTGAGTTGTAAAGTGAGAAGCCAGACAACCATTTTCAAGGTTACAAGAATAAATCCAGAATTCACAGTGCAGTGGTTTGATTCTGTCTGCAATCAGTACTCTTTCCCAAGGACGCAAGGACCAGATGGCCCAGCTTCCTCTGAGAAACGCTGATTCCTTGAAGGTAAACAATCAAACTGAGATGACACATCACCTCGATCCCTTGTGATAGCCATTCTGTAAGGGGAAGGATGCAGGTGAGGACCCTGGGAAGCAGCAGACCCCACTTCATAGGCGAGGCCAGGGCCCAGCCCAGTTCAAAACCATGTGCAATCAACACCACTTGACGCAGACGCCAGCCAACAGCTCCCATCACTTCCCATGTTGAGTAGCCATGTTTCTGAGGCAGGGACCAAGGATCAGAGTGTGGTGTCCCCGTGATTGGGAATGCCTGGTTCTGGGCTGCTGGGAAAGAACCCGAGGCGCCCGGTTGTCCCACCTCCCACCTCTGAGCTGGGGCCCAAAGCCACACACATCTCTCCAAACACGCACCTTGCTTCCTGGGGTCCCGGCCCCACTACCAGCCGGGTTCATCTTAAACCTCATCTGACTTCTCCCCATGCCCAGCTGTGTCCCCGACCTCGATCCTCTCTCCCCGAGGTCCCACTTTGTTGCCTCTGACCGTTCACTTCCTAGTGACCTTGGCGTGTGAGCCCAGGCTGGCTCTGAAACCCAGAGCTGGGGGGCCTAGGCACTTTATCTCTCTAACCAGGCCCCTCCTAGTGAAGTGTGGCAGCGTCCTACCTACTGCCTGGGACTGCGGCAGTGACTAGAGGACATGGCCCACACACAGTCACCACCAGTGCGGTCATTCTCCTGCAGGTCTGCATGGTTACGATTTTTCTGGCAAAAGGCCTACCTCACCACAATCCATCTGCAGACTTCTGCTGACTCATGTTTCAGGAATGTGGGGCTAACTGCACCACTGCATCTCTTCTAAAGCCTCTGACGGTTCCCCGCTGGTCGTGGAATTAAGCATACCTTTCCACCTTCATCACTTGCCAAGATGTCTGAGGTCCACTGAGAGTGCCACGTTTTCCTTCACACAAGGCACTTCCCTCCTCAATACCCAGATCGGCTGTCCCTTGCGATATGACTGCTAGCTGCTTGCCAGAATCCGCCCCCTCTGCTGGGGCACACAGCCGAACACCGCCTTCCAGCATCCCGTGTGGTCATGCTGCCCCAGACTAGCTCTCACGGTGGGACTGAGAGTGCTGGAACGCACACCGTCTCTGGGCCACTGCTTTGCAGAAGAGGCTGTACCCGCTCCCTGCTTTATCCCCTTCCATAGGCCAGGCACAACTGGTCATGCAGCCTCCCCAGGAAGGAGCCCAGCCCCTGCAGCCCCTCGGGAGAAGCTGCTGTCATTTCATGGCTCAGCCACCATGCTTCACCAGTGTGCTTGCACTAGCCTCGCTGACAGGCACGTCACATGCCTCGTGGCAGGGGCACTCAGCCTGTATGCCTGCTCTACCGGCTTTCGGTAGCACCTGCAGGCTGGTGCTTCTTGAACTGAACTCAAATAAACTCTGTCTGAGGCATGGCGTCTTGAAGAAACATCCTGTCTTAGCAGAAAAAACAGTGTTGCCAAAGGTCAGGCCCATGGGAGCCAGTCTCCGCTTCGCCTCCTGTAACTGATTCATCAAAATCAGGTTCTCTGCTAAAATGTTCCCTGGAGCTCTTCCTTGCTCTGAAACTCTCGAAAGCTTATGAACTGTGAGCTGGCCTCCAGGCCCGCCAGACACTAGCATGGTGCCTAACAAGCGCTCCACAGGTAATACGGACGGACGTCCAGCTCCATCAGAAGACATAGGCAGACCAGCAACAATCAGTAACAAGGGCAAACTGAGACCCTGAAACCAGAAGGATGCAGGACGTGGGGCTGCTGTGCTGGAGGAAGGGGTCTGGCTGACCTGTTTCCATTAAAAGCAGCCACAGCCAGTGCAGACCTGCTGGGCCAGGCCCCCCGCCTGCTCTGAAGGCGACCCTCTCTCTGAAGCAGGGGAGGCATCTTGCTGTAGCAGAAACGGCAGTCAGACAACAGCATAAATTTTTCTGAAGTCCATGGTGATTTTTATTACCAGTATAACAACATCCTCTGCATGAATTCCCAGCACACCACTTGCAACTCAAATGCCAACTAAAATCCAGATTGATGCCACTGTATCTAAAGCCAGTGTGTGTGGGTCTTAAGCATCGGCTGTCAAGTGTGCAGACCCCCAGGAAGGAGATGTGCTTCATCCAGTACTTTCTACAAGGCAACCACTGCCTCAGAAAGGAGGCAGCACGTGCACTGCTTACAGATGAAGAGACTGAGGCTTGCAGGGGATAAGACACTCGTCCAAAGTCACCCGACAGTAAATGACGTCTTCTACTTAGCTCTGACCTTTCAACTCCTCAGATGAGAAAACAATGCAACTGCATTTTGTTAAAAATAAAAACCATACAATGGTGGCTGCATCTGCTTACCAGCATACAAGTCAATTTTAAAGTCACTCCCTTAAGTCACTCCCTTGGCCTGCTGCTCTGTCCCCACACTCCAGAGTGATCCTGATCCCACGCGGTGATGGCTCTGTGCAGGCGCTGGGCTGAGCCCTGCCCGCCGGGCTCAGCCACCCCTCTCCTGCTGAGGCGGCGGGACTTGCCACTGCACCCGCCAGACAGATGCCATCGGAGCATAGCCCGGAGAGGATGCCGGGCTGGCACTAGGTTCCTCAGTGTCAACCCTGTCATTACCACTGTGGAGTTTCACCACTTATTTCAAATCAGCGGCAGAATATGCAATTTGAAAATTTTTATCATGTGAATTAAACTTCGTTGTGGCAAAGTCCACAGCTTTACCAGTATTAAATTCTGAAACTTCACCCTTTTAATGCCTAACAGACCACACATGCCTGCCATGAGACCAACTGTGCCAGCTGCTGGAGGGCAGTCTGCGCTCACGGACAGAAGCTGCAATTCAGACAGGGTCCCTGTGGGTGGGTAGGGTCCCCACCCTCTGGGTGGACAGAGTCCCTGTGGGTGAACAGGGTCCCATGGGTGGACAGGGTCCCTGTGGGTGAACAGGGTCCCCGTGGGTGGACAGGGTCCCCGTGGGTGAACAGGGTCCCCGTGGGTGGACAGGGTCCCCGTGGGTGGACAGGGTCTCTGTGGGTGGACAGGGTCCCTGTGGATGGGTAGGGCCCTCGTGGGTGAACAGGGTCCCTGTGGATGGGTAGGGCCCCCATGGGTTGGTAGGGTCCCCGTGGGTGGACAGGGTCTGTGATCTGGAACACGGGCTGAGTTGGCAGATAAGGCCAGAGCTCACCAAGCCACAGGTTAGCAGTGGCATCAACCACAGCCTGTCGAGAGATAGCTAGTCCATTATGTGCATATTCAGCCTCTAATTCACCAAGAAACAGTCACTAAGCGCTTGAGTGCCTGGCTCTGTAAGGCCCTAAGAATAAACAGTAAATGATAGCTTCTAGAACCCCTTGCCTGCAGCCTAGTCAGGGAGGCAGATAAACACAGCAACGTGATGGATGCTGCCGAGGAGCCATGGTAAAGGGCCTCACCTGCGCCAGGCTACTGGGGCCTAGAAGGCTGAACAGGGCTCCTCGGGAGGTGAGAGGTGGGGATGGCATTCGAGGCCACTGGCACACAGGACAGGCTTGAGTCCATCCAGGCTCTGGTCCTTTCAGGGCCAGCATTTCCCACGGGCCTCTTTTCCGTCAGCAGCATGTGGCCACCACATCTGTGTCCAAAGTTGGAAGGAGAAGGCAGGAGGAACAGGCGCCACCCCGCGCTGCCAGAACAGGGGCTGCCTGGCTTCAACACACAAATGCTTGGGAGAAACCTTTCTCAGATAACACAGAAGATGAGGTTTGGGACAAACTCCTCTATTTGTAATAGAGGATTTATTATAATTTAGTCACCTTTGTTCTCCTTCTGTTACAAAAAATTCCAGACTGAACTGAGAAAATTACTTCAGATGATTTAGGGTCAAGTTTGATTTTAACCTATTCAACCGTCCCGGAGGGAGTGGCTTTTCCAAGATCCACTCTGATCCGCCCTCAGGCTAATCTCCCCCAGATTAGCAGCCGCTGGTGAAACGGAGGCTGGATCAAGGCTCAGGAAGTACGCCCTGTCTCCTAATCACTGGCAACTAGAAGACATTTACAAAGCAAAGCCGACCGCTCTTAGAGACCTCCAGCCCTCCTGGGCAACACCCGAAACAAAACACGGCCGAGCAGCAGCGCCAAGAGGAATCTGAAAAGGCCTTTATTGCTTAAGACTCAGGCCTTCCAAGAGCGCATTCTTGAGGGTCCTGGAAAGCTGAGGCAGCGCCTGCGCCCGGGCACCTCCCCCTCCTCCCAGCGAACCCGGCCGTCCACCGAGGGGCCTGTGCGGCAAGCCCGCCCTCCACGCTGACACAGATTTGGGAGAAACAGTGACAAACTGAGCATCGACCGCCAGTGTGATCTCACACTGAACTGGGCCAGTGGGCACCCAGGGACACGCAGACCGGAAAGACCAGCGAACAGCCTCCCCAGCTAACGGCCGGAGGACGGTGGAAGACACAATTCCGTGGACCGCTCTTAAAACCTCTCACTCGCCGTGGTGAGTCCCGTGTCTCTGAATATATTTCAGTACAAGGAGAAGAAACGATCCATTTGGGGAAAGTGGGTCATAAAACAGATTAATAACCCTGAATAATCACGCAGGGAGAAGCCTGCCTTCAGCAGGTCGGGGTACACTAAACTAGTTTCATTGTGATGTAAATTGCATTCTCAATGCCACCAATTCATCCCTGACGGCCTATTCATCAACAGTTTTCTCTGAAATAAAAACGAAGCCAGATACTCTTTTGTACCCACCGTCCCAACACAGTCGCCCCGTGTCCTGATTTCCAGGGACTCTCCCTTAGTGTCTGTGTAGTAACCTGTTCCCCCAGTGCTGTGCACCTGATAAAAAGGGACGCCAAGCAGGGCAGGGGCGAAGGGAAGAGGTCCTCTGTCCCTGAGGGCTGCCGCGGGGTCTGTGCCTGGGCTCCACAGCAGCTCCTCCCCGCCGGGACAAAGGCAGGAAACCCTCAGGTTGGGGCCTTCATTTCTTACACAGAAACCACGATGGAGTTCCTTTAACTCAGCTAAGATGTTTACTCATGAGGGTTTTTTTCACAAGCTGTTATCTTCTCTGTTTCAGTGAAATTATTTGTAGACTCTGCAAAAAACAACAAAAAAAAATACAAACAACACCCCCCCCCCCAGAACAGCGGGAAGTCCCTGCAGACCCCTGCTGCCAGAGGGGGCAGGGCGTGGCCCCAGGCAGGGAAGGAGGGTTACCCTGAGCCCAGGGCCAAGCAGGACTGATGGTATTTACAGCAAAGGAAAACTGCCTCACCACACACTGCAAACAGGTTCCCCCGGGGATGAGCCTCGAACGAGGGGCACCACGAATCTTTCACATTCCCCACAAAACAAGTGAAGGAAGAACCAGGAATCACATTTTGCATTTTGGTCACCATTATCTGATCCAATCGGTAGGAATCTGGCCTTGAGGATGAAGACGGGTGGAGAGGTTCCTTCCTGAGAAGCAAGAATCCATGAAGTCAGGGCCAGGACCCAGGCCAGCCCACCGGGCCCACCACTGTCCGCCAGCAGCTGGGGCTGGGTGAGCCCGCCTGCGCGTGCAGACTCCGCTGCGGCCCCAGCCCTCTGCTTCAGTGCTCGGCTGTGGGGAGAGCAGCAGAACCCACCTCCTTGCTTGGGGAGGCAAGGTGATCCTGACCTTCTCTTTAAACAGACATTAGCATTAAAAAGGTGCTTTAAAGTCCCTGGCTAATAATAACAGCAGTTATGAAATGGCAAACACACAGTTTCAGCTGGGCACCTGCTATGGCTTTTTGAAAGGAGACACACAAGGGAGGCACACTGAGCGGGGTCAGTGGCCATCTCTGTGGAGGGAGGCTTCTCATGGTTTTTTCCTTCCCACGTTTCCAGTTTTTCCACATTTTCTACAGGCATGCACGGCATATTTAATACCAAAAAATTTGAAACAATAAAGCTTATATAGATGTGTAGCACAGAAACTAGACTGCACTTTTTGGGGCTTTCTTTTAAAAACTGGCTTCTCAGAAAAGAAATGACACTGAAAGAATTCTGTCTTTTAAGAAAATTAGAGAATGCAGGCTGATTAAAAAAAAACCTCCAAAATAAGCTTTAGAATTCAAAACTTTTAACTTTCTGCTAACTACTAGATTAGTAATCTGGAATCCTCTGGACAGAAGTAATTTCAGATAGAGTTCTCCAAAGACAGAATCATTTGTTCCTTTAAAGTTACTGACTTTAAAATTTTTACTGTTTTTTTTTTTTTTACAGTTATCTTGTTAAAAACACATCATGCCTCCCTGGCTTCACAGATGACAGTGAACAAAATGAAATTACGATTCTGAAAACGGCAAATGATGAAGGCTCCAAGGGGTTATAATAAAATGTTGATATGATTATTGATTAGAAAACTACAATCACATGCATCAAACTCCCAGATGTCAGAATTGTGTTTAATCCTTTGAAGTTAAAGGTGTATCAGAAGGTAAGAAACTTGAAAAATTAATCATCCCCAATACAGACTGTAGTATATCTGGGGCTCCCTTTTGCAGGGGATGTACACACAGGATCACGGGACCAGACCGGAAGATGCTAAGCCACAGTTGCAAGGGCACGAAGGGACCAGGACCCTCCGGACTCTGGGTCTCCAGAAAGGCTGGGACCTAAGTGGGTAGGGAGATGTCTGGTGCAGCTGGGACTATTCAAATGGTTATCATCTAGGCTCTGAGGCCTCCTCCCACCTCGGCTCCGGGTCTGCAGAGGGGCAGACAGGGTCTCCTCCTCCAGTGCTGCTGGTACAGGTCAGTGGGGTCAGCTACACACTGGGCAGGGAAGGGGCCCAGATAAATCCTTACAGACCACAGCAGAAACGCCTCCACGCCTGGTCCCCACCCTCACGGACCTTCTAGAGTAACAGAGCAGGAAGCGGGGAGGGGGGGACACACAAACACATAATACAAAAAATGTGCAATTTTGAACTAGACTAAAACCTGAAGAAATGCAGAGCCCAGCTGGCCCTGAGGAAGCGGCAGTGGGGTGACCCAAGGAGGGAGGGGGACGTTGCTCCTGGCTGGGGCAGCAGTGCTACGGTGCTGGGGCGGGAAAGACTGGAGGGAGGGCAGGAGGCTGTGAGGTCACGCTGCGGGGGTGGCCACGGGGTGGGCGGGGGGAGCCGCGCACCCTCTGGTGGAGAACAGGCTCAGACTGGCAGCAGCGTGAGAATGAAAAGGCGAGTCATCCACAGAGACAGTAGGTGGCAGGCGCCAGGGGCTGGGGGTTGCAGGGATCTCAGTGGGGACGGAGGGGCAGTGTGGGAGACAGACAGGCCTGGAGATGATGGAGGGGCTGCTGCACAGCAGTGTGAGCGAGCTTAAGGCTCCCGACCCAGACACTCAGAAGCGGCGGAGATAGTAACTGTTGTCCCTTTCCGCATGAGAGAAAGAAGGACTAGCTGGGAGGCTCTGTCAGTGGCTGGTGGGGTGAGTGGCTCCTGGGCCTGGGTGGCAGGGACGCAGGGAGAAGCAGGTGCCTCAGGAAGTGTGACAACAGACAGAGTGGGGGGGGGGCCTGGGCTGTGGGGAGTGGCAGGGCTGTCACCGCACTCCTGCCAGTCCCTTCAGCAACACAGCTCACTCCTTGCTTAAAACCACCCACGGGGGCCCTGTCACAGGTCTTACTGGCACTTAGGAAACAAAACAAAAACAATCTACTTTAGAAGAATTAGACTAGCTGGATTGATACAAGCTCATACATCAAAATAAGTAAATACTAGGGAAAATCTTATGCCAGCCCAGCCTGCAAACAGTGGAGAGAAGCTGTCTCCATGAGGTCAGTCCTCAGGCTCTCTGGGCTCTCCTGCCCTCCCCAGGGCGCTGCATGAAGTGGGACTCCAGGACCTGCCCTGGAGGGTGACCGAGTGCCTCTGGGTGTTAGAGGAGAGCGCCCCGCGGGTGGGTGCGGTCAGCCTGGCAGAAGGCCTCGGGAGCACAGGGCAGGGTTTCTGCGCCCCAGCCGGCCAGGCAGGTGCCCTGGTGCAGGGCCCGCGGAGGCCCTGGGGACGGAGCTGTGGTGCTGGGGATAGCCTCCCAGATGCTCTCAGTCAGCTCCATCCTGCCTGCTGTCCCCTTGTCCTCAGCCTGTCCAAGTCATACTCGGAAGGCCCGCAAGGGCCACCTTGGTGAGATCCCCACCCAGGCCGACGGCCCTTACATACCCTCCCTGAGGCCCAGTGACATCTGTCTCTCCTAGCACAGGGTGATGATGGGTGAGGACGGTCCCTGGTACACAGAGGCTCTCAGCAGCTAGAAAGACACCTGTGGGCTTTATTTGGAAATGGCAGGCCAGACCCGTGCCCCTGCTGAAGGGGCTCACCCTGCACCTCCAGGGTTGCACACACCTTCTCCACCCACAGCCTCAGGACCCTTCCTGCTGCTTCCCTGAATTTCACAGGCCAAGCAAATAGCAGAAAACACAGACGAGGATGTGAGCTAAAGACAATCAGCCACAAAAGCCCATCTTTTCTGGGTCATCCAGACGACTCCACTGAAGTCAGAAACAGGCACGCCGTTTACCCAGAGCACTGGGCAGTCTTCTCGGCAATCTCGGCACGATGCTCACAGGGGTTCCACCCAAGCTCCCAGGGCAGACTCCATAGCCTGCTCCATCGGTTGCCTCAGTAATTTATTCCCAGGTCATTTTGTTAACCGAGCGGTAGCCAATTTTCCAAATATACAGGTAGCTATTCTTACAAAAAACAACAATGCCCCCAAATATATGCATGCATTTTCCCTACAGTGCTTGGTTTCTATATTCATAGTGACTGGCAAGGTCTGGCCTCAGAGGCTTACCTGACATTATGGCCACAGTTCCCCTCCAAGGTGGAACCACAGTCACACAGGCTCTCTGAGGGGTCTTCAGGCTGCGATTCTATGCTCATTTAGCATTATACTACCTTGGCCTTTTGGAAGATGAGGTAAAACATTCCAGAGTTCTGAAGGGACCTCCCACCTTCCAAACAGCATTCTGAATATCATCAAGCCTGGGACTCCCGCAGATCATGCAGCTTTATTTTAAAGCTTTTAGTTTTGCTCCACAGTATGAGACAATTCTTGAAGATGTTCTGTCCCCAACCCAGATGAATAAAATGCACCCAAGCCTCATGGGCTCCTTAAATTCTATGCACATTTTCTGCCCTCCTGCACCACGAGGTCGGGCAATGCAGGAAGGATCAGTGTACGGACAGGAGTCTGGGCTGGAGACACTGCCCCAAGAGGTGGCCCCTGGGGGTTCCAGGGCATCACCCTCTCCCCACAGCCGTGGAGCCAGCCCATCCCCCAGCCCTACTGACTTAGGTCCTGAACAACCTCAGGCCTATTGACGTCTCGCCACAGCCATGGCCACGACAAGAACTCTGGTCCCTCTGCCAAAGCGTGGTCCCCACAGTCCAACCCATGGGGTGGCCCTGGTGGCCACATTGCTCCCCTCCTTCCAACCTTCCTAGGGGACCCTGAGGCTATCCCCTCAATTCCTGGCTTCTTTGGGCAGAGCCCATCATCCCCTTGCCTCCGAGACACCATGCTGTTGTCCCACTGCTGGGAAGTCTCTGTCCCTGATGTTCCCAGGCACCCCTACTGCCTGTAACTTGGATCTTAAGTCATCCACAACAGCCCTGCTGCCCCCTGGACTCTCCTCACTGTGCTCTGCACTTCCGCCATACTGCGCCTGCTCTCTGCATGCCCGCCATACTGCGCCTGCTCTCTGCACGCCTGCTGTCTCTTCCTGCTTCCTGGGAGCAAAGAGGCATCCTCCCTGCCCCCAGCTTCTGCGTCTCCAGCTCCCAGAGCACCTAACACATACTGAGTGCCCTCTTGCCAGTGACACTGGAATTCAAGGCCTCAGTAACCAACTGTATGTTGGGAGTGTGGCAGGGGGCATCGGAGTGGGCTTTCCATTTGGTTCCAAGATGGAGACACTGGGGGCCACCAAGTATAGCCTGCAGCTCAGAAGAAGTGGCTGGAGACAAGCCGTGGGACACAGTAAGGAGCCCAGACCCGACCAGGCCCGGCCCAGTGGGGGTGGGGCAGGCAGCCGGGCTCAACCTGGGACCCAGAGGGTCTCCCAAACCAGGAGCACAGGGAAGGTGGCAAAAGGGCTGCAGAGTGAAGGCCGGGGTCCAGCGTGAGGCTACGAGGACATGGGTACAGTTACCTGTGTGCAACAGCCTCACCATGAAGCAATCTTCCAGAGAAGTTAAAGATACACACAGTATATAATAAAAATTGCATGACACCATTTATGTGTACTGCCCCTAAACTTCTCTGTGCATATGGAAAGTAAGAGGAACAATGGACTTAAATCCTCAGGGTCACTGCCCCTGGAGAAGGGAAATGGTAGGAAGGGGAACATAGGAGGCCCTGATGCCATCTGCAATGTGCTGTTCCTTTTATTTAAGAAAAAGCTTGAAAAAATATGAGGAAACGTGAACCAGTGTCAATTCTTTATGGGTATGCAAGTATGTGGTAAGTTAGCCCCTGTTCATGTCTGTATTTTTAAATGCCTTGAAATACATAAGCATTATTTCATCAGTTCTGGGCTTCCATCTGCAGTTTATTGTGTTCCCTTTGCAAACTGCCCTGTGCCCCAGCGTGTGGTGGCTGAAGGGCTGTAGCGATGATCTGGCCACTCTGAAGCTCCACATCAAAGCCTCTGCCCTGCTTCTCCCTCAGGGTCCTGCCCGGCTGGGGACAGTCTCTGCAGCCTATGAAGGTTGTTCATGGTGAAACCCAAGTTTGCCTTTTCAAATCCCCTGCACTTTGAATTCCTTTCCTCTGGACAAGCAGCTCAGAGAAACATAATTTTGCTCCGACCTCAGGAGCTGGGAGGGATCTTGGCAATGCCATGTTCCATTCTCCACCCTCATGAGAATGCCACCCTCTGTGACACATGTCAGTGATGGGCACCTCTGCTAAAAGACAGGGGGTCTTCTACACTGTGATCAGCTTGAGGCACTACGCCAGGTTCCCGCCAGTGGGAGATATCTCACTTCTGACACCAGACACCTCCCAGAGCACACAGTCCCTCCCCTCCCTGGTCATGATGACAGTAGGTGCTGACAATGATGTGCATGTGTGGCAAGAGTCTGTGTGCCAGGCACTGGGGTGAGTACTTTTAACACACCACTCTTAGCCCCATAATTACCCAGCTATAATTTTACAGATGAGGGGATGGCTGCTCGAGGTTAGGTCACTTGCCCAAGGGCATCCAGCTGGAAGGTGAAGAAACCAGACCTTTTAAAAGCTGAGCCACTGTGACCTCTGATCATGTTTCCCGGCCAGATGGCTTTTCCATTCAGATCTCTCTCATGCGCTTACCCATGTTGCCAACAATTTATGAAGTGCCAACTACGTGCCAAGCATTCTGGTAGGTACTGAGACTACAAGAGCGAACAAGAAAAGCACAGTCCAGCTCCCACCACACTCAGAGGGTGTCAGATAACAGATAAACAGAACCCCAAACCACTCCAGTATCCACAGGACAGCAGAGCAGGAGCCTTGGGGCACTGTGGGCACAGCCCACGGACCTCCTCCCAGTGGGGCACTGCCAAGGCCAACTTGAGAAAGCGGCTTTTAAGCAGCCAAAGGACAGTGTTCTGAAAGGCCCCGTAAGCATTCCTCATCAGGCCAGAAATGAGAACAGAGCCCATCATGATGGCATTTATTCAGCGCTACTTGGCAGTTCCAGCCAATCCAACAAGATGACAAAAGGAAACGAGACATGAAATAGTGGAAGAAAGAGATAAAATAATCACTGTTTGCAGAGGAACAGTGTGACCTAGGAGGCGCATGCAAACAGTGAGGTCAACTGCTGCCAGAAATGCTAAACGTGACTAGACACAAAGTTGATACTTCACCCCAGCACTCCATCTCCAAACCCACTAATTACAGAAAGGAAAACAGTAACTACCTGGTGGAGAAGCCTGAGGACACCTGATCCAGAGACACACCTCAGCACCACCAAGGACACCGCATGGCTGAGTGACACCGAGAGGCATGCACACCCCCTTGCCAGCGTTTTAGCCAAAGTTGCTTAACCTGAATCTAATCAGGATTTTGTCTAATCAGATAAACCTAAACTGAGACAGCCAATAAAATCACTGCCGTTTCCTTTAAAAATATCAAGGTCAACACAGACGAAGAAAGGTTGAGGGGCTGTCCCAGGGTAGGGACCCCAGAGATGGGAGCTGAGTGCGAGGCTCTGTCCTGCTCCTGAGCCTGGACTCCGACGACACTACTGGGACACCTGGTGAAACCGGCCCACCAGCTGGGACTAGCTGACTGCATGGCAGCGACATGAACCTCCCCAAATGCAACAACAAGGCTGTGGGGTGGGAACACGCTTATTCTTAGGACACATGTATTGTGGTATTAAAGAGAAAAGGGATATGAGATACTTATGACCCCCCCACCCTCTCAGATGCCACATATCCGTGTAGAGAAACCACTAAGGAAGATGCCTCAGAATGTGAGAAATTGGTGAGTTTGGGCAGAGGGTGTATGAGAGTTAGTTGTTTGGTCTTGCAACTCTTCTGGAGGCTTTTTCAAAATGGTAAAGTTCTAAAAATAAATCATCATTATAAAGCCTATAAGAAAAAAGTAAGAGAAATGAAAACACACACAACTCACCTTTGCTACATGTACACACTAACACTCTTTAGAAAATAAGAAATGAAAAAAGAGCTCCTTTGTATTAACCATCTGCAAAACAAATATATGAAACACCCAGGATTAAATGTTTCTTATTAAGTAACATAGAGTCTCTGCAAAAGAAAAACAGTAATACAAAGGTACTGATTAAGTTCAGTAAAATATGCCCATGTGGAAGAAAGCGTATGATCTAGAGCAGAGGTGCGCACACTGTTTCCGTAAAGGGCCAGACAGTAAGGCTTTCCAGCCACATGAGCTCTGTCTCAACTAAGTCTCAGGCAGCATGTAAACAAATGGATGTGGCTGTGTTCCAAAAAAACTTCATTTATAAACACAAGGGCCTGGAGGATTTGGGCCATAGGCTGTAGCTTGCAGCCCCAATCTAAATGTGGCCAAGGCCAGCTAGCCCTTCACAGCATTTCTTCTTCCTTCTGGTACGTGCATGCATTTGTTAATAGGGGAGTTTTACACTTTGCAGGTGTAGACCAAAATATTAACACGAAGGGGGTAGGTCAGCATGTAATTCACTGATAAGTGTGTACAGTAAACTCCAGGCAAGAAAGGGCCACGGGGGTATTTTTAAAGCTTCCCCCCACCAGCAAACCTTCCTCCTCTCTCTGTGACACCCAGGACAGCCTCTCAGATACCCTTGCTTTCCACTCTGGCGGCAGCAATGAGGGTGGTAAAGGGGATTTGGAAGTCCTCCACTCTAACTCGTCTGCAGGCCAGGGTGGTAGAAATGGAGGGGAATCAGCAGCCTATTCTGCAACAAGATGTTTCAAGAAGAATCTTTAAGGAAGGGTGGCACTGGCAAGCTCTCCCCCACACCCGTAACTGTAGACAACCGTATTCAGAGGGCCTGCCCGAGCCCCGCAGCCTAGGCCAGCCCTGCCCTGTCCTTTTCACCTCGAAGCATACCACAGAAAATAACATCGTGCCTCAGAGGTGAAATGGGGGGGGGGGGCGCCGAGGCTGTGGCCACACTCAGGAGCCTGGTTTCCCAGAGACCTGCAACCTCTTCAAGGACACCAGCAGTCCATTTTAACTAAAAATGGAAAACAAAACACAATAAAAAATTCAGCTCTTCAGTCTCTGGCCACATTTCAAATACTCAGCACCCACATGCTGTCCATGCTGGATGGCACAGACACAACATTTCTGTCACTGCAGTAAGTCCTACATGCCCTGTTGGCTGACCCAAGGTTAGCAGGCCCAGAAAATGTGTTCACACCTCAATTTGCAGAGCAACACATAACTGCTAAGAAAGCTGAATATTCAGTAGAGTCTTCTTACAGGCTAGGAGCCAAATTAGGGCTATAAAACGCAGAGCCCCGCAGCCTAGGCCAGCCCTGCCCTGTCCTTTTCACCTCGAAGCATACCACAGAAAATAACATCGTGCCTCAGAGGTGAAATGGGGGGGGGGGCGCCGAGGCTGTGGCCACACTCAGGAGCCTGGTTTCCCAGAGACCTGCAACCTCTTCAAGGACACCAGCAGTCCATTTTAACTAAAAATGGAAAACAAAACACAATAAAAAATTCAGCTCTTCAGTCTCTGGCCACATTTCAAATACTCAGCACCCACATGCTGTCCATGCTGGATGGCACAGACACAACATTTCTGTCACTGCAGTAAGTCCTACATGCCCTGTTGGCTGACCCAAGGTTAGCAGGCCCAGAAAATGTGTTCACACCTCAATTTGCAGAGCAACACATAACTGCTAAGAAAGCTGAATATTCAGTAGAGTCTTCTTACAGGCTAGGAGCCAAATTAGGGCTATAAAACGCGCCTGGTTAATATGGAATACAATCACAGGGAGGTGGGTAGTCTTCAGGGAGAGATGTTTTCCCCAAGCCGTGATGAGTCACTGTTCCCAGCTTCAGGAACATACCTGCCAAACAGACCGGATGTTCAGTCCCCAGCGGTGGAGGGAGAGGAATGATCTTCCTTTGCACAGAACTTCATGGCCCCCAATCTGGTTCTCATCTGATTGCAATTTAGCATCCTGTCAGAATCAGCT